CTATTTTTAATTTGTACCATTACCCACCCACCCACCCCCCCCAAAAAGAAAGAAAAGATGCCAGTCTGGCTCCCAGGTGGGAGTGACCAGGGCAGGAGTGGAGCCCTGTGACCTCTGAGCCCAGCGCCCGCCCACCCAGTCACCCACTGGACAAGTTCACTGAGCTCCTAGGATCCTGTCCCAAGCATCTCTGCATCAGTTTTTTTACAAGGGTAAAAATTCCTCCCCTTTCTCTAAACTGGGAACTAGCGGTGTTCATAGTCATGATTTAGGGCACATCAGGATTAAAATCTACCAGCACTCACAGAGACTCATGATTACAAAAGACTAAGCTAGCTAATAATGACACCTTTGCATTCAATTCTCTTTCTTCTTAAAGTCACTGCCCAGATGAGGAAAAATGCATAACTATCGCTCCCGAAAGAGACTTTTTCCTCCTGTAAGCTGAAACTCTTTAAAAACATTCTCTGATCTAGGACATTCCCGACAGTCTGCCCTTTTCCTAGTTTGCTGCCGAACGCAGACCGAAGACTCGGGATCAGCAGGGCCGGGTCTCAGGCGCGGTAACACCACCTCCGGAGCAGCCAGCCCCGGCCCTGCAGGACAAAACCTGACTCCCTGCCCGTTACCCAAGGAAGATTTCTTTTTTAAAGGTGCCAAAGAAGCCTGGGACACAGGGCCGCCGAGCGCCCGCCCGTCCAGACTACGATGCCCGGTTTCCCCTAAACTGCATCAACAAGAAGACCCCTGCCCGTCCTCCGGCACGGTCCGCGGGCCTCCGCCACAGGGCGGAGGCGGCCGCCCGGTGCCCCTCGCTCCTCCGTGTCCTTCTCCCCTTTCCTTGCGCTCCTGCGTGGCCAGTCTCCCTCTGCCTCTGCAGCTCGTCCTTCTCCTCTGTTCGTCAGAACCGGAGCCCAGTCGCCCAGTCGCCCAGTCGTCCCTCGCGTCCGCTTCCTCCTCCTCGGTCAGGGCCAGGGCGGCAGCAGGGCGGCTTCCCTCTGCGCTGCTCCTCCACACCCGGGACTGGCCCAGGCTTCACCCCACTGCGCCCGCTGCTCCGGCAGGCTGGGAGGGCCTGGGCCATCTTCTCTCCCCACTCTGAGGAAAACATCCCGAGGTCCCTGCCTCGGTCCACCATCTCTGCAGGTGGTAAGGAGGGAATCTTCTTCCCGGAAAGCACAGGGAAGCACTGCCAGCGGCCGGCCCCTCCCTCCCCCTCCTGCTGGACCAAGGAGGCAGGCTGCACACACTGCTAACACTGTGCGTTAGCTTGGGAACATTAGAAAACCCTGCCTCAAAATTGAAAAAATACATTTTTTAAAGGGAGGATGTGGCGCAACTGTAGAACATACGTACAGCATGTGCAAGGCCCAGGGTTCAATCTCCATTGCCCCAAAATAACTAATTAATAGTAGAATTACAAAGTTAAAACTTATGCTGTAATTTTCAGAGTAGTGCTAAAAGAAGAGAAAAAGAATGTAAAATTCTCAAAGAGATAATCTGAGAATACAATGAATTTTTATAAAATTATAGCCATCCACTAGAAGGTAAGAAAAGAAATATTAAACAAGTAAAACAAAACGTGCAGAAGATAGTAGATTGAAACTCAAACCTTTTACTATTACTATTAAATGTACATGCTGTAAATCAAGAGTTTTCCAACAGAAAGTCATGGGCCACACACCTAATTTTAAATTTTCTAGTAGCCACATTATAAAAAGTAAAAAGAGCTAGTGTAATTAATTTTCAAATCACATTTTTATTTAACTCTGGCCAAATTATCATTTCACATATACTTAACATTCAAAATTCTTATGATATTTTGCATTCCTTTTTCTTCAACATATCTTCAGGATTTGGTATGTTTTGAATTTACAGCACACCTGTTTTCCAGTTTTAGTTATTTCTCTTGTTGCTGAGACAAAATACCCAACAACCAAAATTAAAGGAGGAAAGGTTCATTTGGCTCTCAGTTCGCCGAGGTTTCCGTCCATAGCTGGCTGGCTCCAAGGCGAGGGGGCACAGCAGAGGAGAAACAGCCCGTGATGGGCAGAAGGCAGGAGGCAGAAGGCACCAAGCTACAAGCAACAATAGCAGCTTCTTTCTGTCTCTTTATAGTCTATCTAGACTGCCTGCCCTTTGGGCACATAGTACTCACACCCAGAACTGTGCCAAACCAATCAGAGGACTGATTTAGTCATCACACACCCTTGATCCCAGCTTCACACACTCTAGATCCAGCCAGCTCTGAAAAGCTCCACCTGTGACTGCAGGAGGCTTTGGGGGGGATGTCTAGACACAAACAATGACCACACCCTAATTTGGACCTGCCACATCTCAAGGGTTCAGGAGATACCTGTCATTGCTGGCCATGACACGAGACAGTGCAAGTCCAGGTGTCCAATGGCAATTAGTGGACTAGAGTTAAACAAATACAGACATACACATTTTTTTTAAAAAGAGAAAGAATATTTGAAACACAATAAAATGAAAAGTTGTAAGAAAAACTGTAAAGAAAGACACATCATAGAAAAATAACCCACAAAAGCTGATACAGCCTTATTAGTATCTAAAAGTTAGACTTTGGTCAGGCATGGTAGCACACGCCTGTAATCCCAGCAGTTGGAAGGCTGAGGCAGGAGGATCACTTTGAGTTCAAGGCCAGCCTGTACTACATAGTGAGTTCAAGGTCAGCCTGAACTATATAGCAAGACCCTGTCTCAAAACAACAACAACAACAAAAGTTAGACTCTGTATCATAAAATATTGTAAGAATTTTTAAAAGACAGTATCATTTCATTATAATAAAAGGTTCAAGCTACCAGGAAAATATACTAAAACTAAAACTTTCCCCATCAAATAGTACATTCCCAAAATATACAGAGAAGACCTTGACAGAATTATAAGGCATAACAAGCAAATTCACATAGTGAAAGATTCTAACATACCTGGTTCAGTCTTTTTTTTTTTTTCCAGTACCGGGGATCAAATTCAGGACCTTGAGCTTACCAGGCAGCCATGGCACCACTGAGCTAAATCCCTAGCCCTGTCCTGGTTCAGTGTTTGATTGAATGAGTAGACAAAAAAATTAAGTTTCTATAAGATTTAGAATGACACAAATAGCAAAAGTGATCTGAGACACATGGAGAATATCATGGTCAACAACTGCAGAAATGGACATTCTTTTTGTGAGGACACAAACATTTAAAAAGATGTCCATGGTCATAAAGCAAGTCTCAGTAACTGTCAAAGAAATGAAATCAAACAAATTATGGGCATATATAGGAAATCAATAACTATGATAGTTGAGGGCTTTTTTCAGTACTGGGAATCGAACTCAGGACCTTGCACTTATGAGGCAGGTGTGGCGCCACTGAGCTACAACCCAGCCCTAACAACTATGATGATTGATTGATTGTGTCAACTTGAGTAAGAAACACCCAACTAAATTGCCTCAGCATGGTTCTGGGTGTGGAAGACCGACCCTAGGGGGAATTGTCACCAGAATCACACAGAGGGAAATGAAGGAGGAAGGATGCTTCTGCTTCGTTTTCTTCAGAGGAGCTCCAGTCTTCACTTTCACCTTGGATGTCGTCTCCTGGCTTCCAGTGCAGCCCCTTCAGCCTCCTGACACGGACCCACATGGGACACTACAGTGAGCTCCAGGCCTTGGACTGGATCCTTCAGATCCCCAGGGTGCAGGCTGGCCTTTTGCATCCTTCCACAAGTGATTTTGAGGGCGGCCACTGTAAGCCAACCTTGTCAATTCCTATATGTTTGTATATTTTGCATTATGTCTGTTTCTCTAGTAAGCACTGACTGACACAATGACAGTTCATTAGAACCCGAATTCTGAACTCACTCTCATTAAAGAAAGAAGAAATCACAATAGAAATTGTCCGGTCTGACTTACGTGAGTCCTTCACAAACAAACAGGACAAAGCAAACAGGCTGCTTTTAGCAAACAACAGCAGCTTCTCAACAAATAGGGCAGATGGACTCAAAAGGAAGCATCAACCCCCAGCGCCAAGAAGTCCAGCAATTGTGTACACCCCTGAGCAGACCGTCCTTGGCATCCAAGTCATAAGCAGTTCACCTCAGATTCCTCAGCCCCTTCAATACCTATGTAAGCCTAATTCCTTTCCCAGTTTGTTGCTAACATCTCTCTCCTGGTGTTAGCCCATCCACTCACGGATGAAATCTCTCCCAGCAGGCTGCCACTCTCTCTCTCTCCCAATGTCAGCCCATCCACACACGGATGTGATAAACTCAGCTTTTCCCAACTAGCTGCTAGAAAATCTGATTTCTAGTCCCTGTTAACTAAAATAAATTTTTCTTTCAAAGGCCTATATTTTTGGATTCTTTATGACAGGAATTGGAATACAATTTGAACTGAATAAAAATGATAGTACAGCCAGGTATTTAGCTCAGTGGTTCCGGCGCCTGCCTTGCAAGCACAAGGTCCTGAGTCTGATCCCCAGTACCAAAAACACTTGATAGTACAACAGAATCAGAATAACAGAATACAGAGCCCACATGTACATTAGGTAAAAAGAACATCAGAAAATCAACATCAGAAAATAAATACCAAATCATGATGGGGGTGCATAAATAATGAACAAGCAGAAAGTGAAATAGAACCAAACAAAAAGAAAATCAATTGAGCCAAAGCCTGATTCTCAGGGAAAAGAATAATAAAACTGATAAAGCCCTGACAAGACTGACCCAGGGAAGAGAGACCGCACAGCTGGCTGGCGTGTGAGATGTTCAGCACTGTCAGTCAGCGAGGGAAATGCCAGCTCTTCCACAGTGACGGCCTGGGGAAGCAAAGCCCAGGGAAAGCAGGGCACCTGCTGGCCACAGAACCCCGCAGTCCCACTCTTAGGAATTTATCCAGGGACCTGCCCCTCATGTGAGCACGTCATGTGTTCAGGTGAGTGTTCCCATCCCTCACCTGTGCACCAGAGGCCCCACCCCACACGTGGCACAGGATCCCTCACCTGGAAGAGCCGCGTCTTCAGGTTCATGCTGCCATAGCCTTCCCGATGGCTGAGGTAAAACGTGCCTGTGAAGCTGGAGCCATCCGGCCACACGTAGGTGCCCAGGCCGTGGCAGTGGTCGCGGTAAAACTGCCCACGGTAGGTCTGTGGGCGAGAGGTCGCTGAGGAGCCTGGGTGCTGTGAGTGGGCTACAGGGCCTCCCCAAGCCGTGGCCACGAGAGGCGGCCACTCAGGCCCAATCCCCACGCCACCCTGCCCCTGCCTGGGCAGGGAGTCTCAAGAAGCGCTGCACGGGAAGCCAGGGACCTGGGCAGGGCCGGTACCCACCCTGCAGCGTGCCCCATCTGAGCACCCCAAGCCCAGCAGCAGGTCTCCCCTGAGGTCCTGGTATGGCCAAGGAGAGCGCCCAAGAATGAGTTTCCATGTTGTCTTTAGGAAGACATGAGTTTAATCTTAAACACAAGGCAATTTCACCAGTGTACATTGCTGCCGTAATTCATAATTTTATTTTCATCTTAGGCTTTTTTGGAGACAGGGTCTCGCTATGCAGATCAGGCTGGCCTTGAACTTGCTATGTAGCCCAGGCTGGCCTCCAACTCACAGCAACCCTCCTGCCTCAGCCTCCCGAGTCCTGGGATTACAGCCAAGTGCCACCACGCCTGCCACCTAATTCACAATTCTAAAACGTTTGCCCAGAATACAAATTTATCTTCTTAAATCACAGCTTCCCACACCTTGTCCTGGGTGCCCTGATGGAGTCTCGGACTTCCCCCAGGAGCTCCCAAGCAGGAGAGGTGGCAGCCTAGTGCTTCCTGCGATGGTTCCATGGTCACATCAGGATGCTCAGGAGAGGCTGGGTCTGGCCCCTGGAGGAGGACGTGGGGTGGCAGCAGAAGCCACTTACCTCGCCTGTGGGCCAAGAGAATTCGCCGTAGCCGAGCTTCACATTGAGCCCAAACTCCCCTCGGTAGACACAGCCGTCCCGCCAGGTCTGCACACCGTGGACCAGCTGGATGGAGGCCTCCTTTAGGCCCCGCCCACTCAGAGGCCCCTCAGACTCCTCATCCTCCTCCGCTGGGGACACCGAGCTGTCCCTAGAAGACAGCAGTGAGGGCAGCAACGGGGCTGAGGCGTGAGAGTGACTTCATGTGGGACTCTGCCTACCCTTTCACTTCACCCTCACCATGACCTAGGGCAGGTGCTACTGTCACAGAGAGGGAAACTGAGGCACAGAGGGTGCACTGATTGTCCAGGGACACTCCGGAAGTGGAAGGTATAGAAGGGTACAAACTGGCAAGGGAAAATGCTGCCAGCCCGAGGCCAGGCCAGTCAGCCCTCCACCTGAGAGGTGGCGACCTGACACAGCAGACACCAGCACCGGCTGGGAGGGCACACAGCTGCGGGCAGAGGTGGGTTCGAGGTGGGCTGCTTCCTGCCTGCTCCTGCTACCTCATGGGCCAGCTGGAACTTAGGCCTGGACCCTAGCCCCATCCCGTTACACCTCATCCTGCTCGAGCTGGCTCTGGGGTCAGGGCTGGAGGCCAGTCTCCATGTCCGGCTGGTCACCTAGGAGCCCTCAGACTCAGCCCCTGCACCAGGCAGCCCAGACACCAGCCTCAGACCACAGGGGCTGAGCCGGCGTCTGCCTGGTGCAGAAGGGGCTCAGCAAGCTCTGTGGGGTGTGTTGCTGTGTGGAGAGAAGCCAGAGTACAGACATCCAACCACAACCGCGATAAACGTGAGGGGCACTGATTCGGTTTTTCTTTCGTCTACCTGTTGTCATGGGCTGGATTTTATCCCCGTCAAAATCCTTATGTTGGATCCCTGAACCACAGTAGCTTAGAACTAACCTTACATGGAGATCGCATCATTACAGAGGTAAAGTGAGACCGTCAGGGTCCAATCCATGACCTAATGCACCACGACCCGTGTCCTCGTAAGACAGGGACATCTGGACAGAGAATGCACTGGGGAGGGTGCTGTGCCTCGGGGCCCGGCTGCCATCTGCACGTGTGCCAAGCAGAGGGCAGGGGCTGGCTGGACCGGTGGCGCTCAAAACTGTCAGACCATGAACTTGTTGTTTAAATCACACAATCTGTGGGGCTTTGCAAAGCAGCCTTGGAATACTAAGAGACTTATAATTCTCATTTTTCTACATGGGATAAGTATTAACTGGGTTTTTTTTAAATAACATTAATAAAGGGGAAAGATAACCTACAGTGGGAATAGGAGAAATGGAATTTTTTGTTATTGTTTTAGGCTTTTGGTTTTGTTTTTTGGTTTTGAGACAGGGTCGCCCTTTGCAGCCCAGGCTGGCCTCACTCACAGCGACCCTCAGCCCCCCGAGTGCAGGGATTATAGGAGTGGACCACCACACCCGGCAGGAGCGCTTAACACAGTGGTGAAGGAGTTTTGGCAACTTAGGGCCCCCACACCCTAAGAGAATCATTCCTGCCCCTACTAGACGTGAAAGGGGTGGCAGACCAGTGTGGGCAGGCTGGCAGGGACACCAGACAAGGTCCAGGAGTCCGCTTTCTCAATACACACTGTCCTTTTCCTCAGTGGTTGTTGGTAGAATGTTTAGGTTTTACTAGCTGCCCAGAGTCTAGCTTTGGGGGGCTGGGAGTAACTTGTGGTGCTTTTTCAGCCCGCCCCAAGGGTGCACCCCAACTCTAGGCCTCTGGTCAGGATTGATATCCTCGCGGGAGGGTCCCCTGCACCTTGCAGTGAGGAGGCCGCTGTCCAGGCGCCTAGGGTGCTCCGTAGCTGGGGGCTGGGCGTTCTGCTCCTCCAGCGGACCTCTGGAGCCGTAGTCCAGGACGACAAAGGGACGATCTCTTTCCATGTCTGTCCTCTTCCAACCTGGAGGCAGAGCCAGGCACCACCGTGAGCCCTCAGAAATTCTGCGAAGGACCCAGGCGCCTGCGGACCGGCCCCAGCTCCACCGGGCTCAGGTGCACCGAGCTCCCTCCCGCAGCCGTGCCAGCCAGGTCCCCGCTTCCCCGCTGCGGACCGCACCCGAGCTTGGAGAGTGCTCCCCAGACCGCTCCCAAATCTGCGCAGGCGGCTGAGACCTGGCTAGCGGAGTGCGTCGCGTTTCCCTGGAAACGTCCCCGCCACGCCCACGCCCTCCGCTTCCGCCAATCCTGGTGCCTGGGGGACGCCCGCCTGCTGGCCTGTTAGGGTTTGAACCGGGCCCTGGGCCCGGTGCTGCAGGTACGTGGAGGAGAGCAAGGCGGAGGCGGAGGTCACCACTGAGCCCTGGGACCAAGGCTTGATCAAGCCCCGCCTGACTGCAAAGCTAGGCTTCGGGGTAGATTGGGTGAATGTGTGCAGAGGGTAGCGTGACAGGGGCCTCAGAGCCATGGCCAGGCCACCCCACCCCACGAGCTCCTTGGGGACTAAGGCAGCTGGACCAGGCCCGGGCCCTGGGGGTACCTCTTGCAGACCCTATTCCTGTCACCCAGTTTACATCTCTTCCTCCTTGGCCTCTCAGGTCCTCGGTACCTGCTTGATTCCTGGGTCCCCTTTTATAGCCTAAGGTACAAACGCAATTCAGAAGTTTCATGAAAAGTTCATCGTACTACATGCGTGCAACCTAGTGGAAATATAAATGCTGATCATGATAAACAGAACCAATTTCCCAACTCAGGCTAGTTGGGACTCAGCACGACTTGCGGGGTCAGGACACAAGGAAAGCACCGCTTCAGAAGGCATTCCAAGCCTGCCTGAAGTGCTGGTGCACGGCCACTATCTCAAAAATCTGGAAAACTGAGGCAGGAGGGTCTCAGGTTCCAGCCCAGCCTGGGCGATTTATCACCTCACTAAGACCCTGTCTCAAAATGAAAAGGAAGGGGGCTGGGGATGTAGCTCAGTGCAAAGGCCCTGGGGTCAGCCCCCAGTATTTCAGGGGAGAGGCTGCTGGCAAGTCCTGAGAGACGGCAGCCCAGGCTAAATTTGGACATGGAGATGGAAAGTTATTTCCGACAACTTGGTAACCAATTCACCAGCTCCACGGGGTGGAGTGCAAGGTATCAGGTAGCCTTTGCAACATCTCACCTCAAACATGCTCCAAGGAGGCCCGTGAAACAACCCCAAAGTAGCAGGGACCTTGGATTTGCCCAAAATGCCAGCAAGGACCCAGTTTCTCCCCTCTCCTCTGCTTTCATCCAAAGCTGGCTCCCTTCTCGGCCATGTGGAGAGAACAGGGAAGTCTTCCAAATCCTTTACTGGTTCATATTAGAGCCCAAGCCTGTTCTTGAAGCAGTTGTGGGGGTGTGGGCATCCCTGATTTTCATGAGCAATTAGAACCTGCTCCTGAAGCTAGGAGCAAACTGTGGGGTACAGGGAATTCCCACTCCCTCCCTGTCTCAGGAAACCCAGACCCTTCCCTAGGATGGTGACAAACGGACGTTGACTAGGCCTCTGCAGAGTTGGTGGGCGGCCAGGTAAGACCTGCTGCAGGTATTTGCCGTTCAGCTCAAGAGGGCATCCACCTTGCAATGACCTCAGAATCACCAGGGCTAGGCAGCTGCAGGCAACGGGAGAACTGAGATCACGAGAGACTAAAGGCACACCCCATCAGATTCACCAAGACTAGGTTGGGGTGTTGGGGTCACAGAGACTAATTCCAGAGAAATGACTGCAAATCTTAAGGGATGAAAATGAATAAGACAAACTTTTATTATAATACTTTTATTATTAAAGTTGGAACTGCAATTAACTGTTTGTAGGGCCATGAAACAGTTGTTTTTCACTATTCCCCGAAAAACACTGTATGAGAAAAATCGAGTGAAGACGCCTTCATAAACACCAACTTCATGAACATTAAATGACTAAATAGCGTCTTTTAAAGTTACAGTGCTAACCCTATAAGTTAAGAAAAACAAACACAATATAAATCCTGGTCTACAAAGAAGTGATAAAAATGCGTTTTGGGCCGAGGATTTAGCTCGGTGGTTTCACCTCCTGCTGCGCAAGCGCACGGACCTGAGTTCGATCCCCCCGCACCAAAAAAAAACAACAACCCCAAAACAGGCTAGTTTTATTTTATATAAGCCACATTTTACAATAAAAAATGAAAACACTCGGAGGTGACAAAAAGCAATTTACTAGGGCGCAGATAACAAAAAAAGGCTCATGCTGTAACAAAAGTGACACGGGAAGCCAGGCGGCCGGTCCACAGCCCGCGGCTCGGCCTCGCGGCCCCGCGGAGGACCCGCAGGACGCCGGGCGGCCTCCCGCCTAGGCCAGCAGCCGGGCCTCGCGGAGCCAGGCCACCCGAGGCCTTCGCGACACGCCGGGATCCGGGGCTCACCGATCAGGGGGAGCGGACGCGACTTCCGGCCAAGGGCACCGCGTCACGGGGACCCTGGCCGAGCCGGCCAACCCGGCCCAGCCGGCACAGGAGCCCCGCCAGGTGCCGCACCCCGCGGCCGGCACCGCCCAGCCCAGCCCAGCCCAGCCCAGCCGAGTGGCGGCGACCTGGCCGGCACCCGCAGCCCGCCCGCCGCCCCAGCAGTCCCTCGGGCCTCGGGCGATGGGCCCAGGAGGCGCCGACGGGCGCGGGTCCGCGGAGGCCTTGCCCCCGCCGTTCGCGCGCGTCGCCCCCGCGCTTTTCCTCGGGAGCGCGCGCGCCGCGGGCGACACGGAGCTGCTGACGCGCGCGGGCGTCACTCTGTGCGTCAACGTCTCCCGCCAGCAGGCTGGGCCGCGCGCGCCCGGTGTGGCACAGCTGCGCGTGCCCGTGTTCGACGACCCGGCCGAGGACCTCTTCGTGCACTTGGAGCCCACCTGCGCCGCCATGGAGGCCGCCGTGCGTGCCGGCGGCGCCTGCCTGGTCTACTGCAAGAACGGCCGCAGCCGCTCCGCCGCCGTCTGCACGGCCTACCTCATGCGGCACCGCGGACTCAACCTGGAGCGCGCCTTCCAGGTGGGCGCTTCCGGGGGCCCACTCTTGGAGACGGGACTTCCGGGCGGCCAGGCACACCCATAGGAGGGCCTTCCCGGAGGGGCGGAGCCTCCAGGTAAGGGTGCCGCCCAGGTCCCTCCTTGAACGCTGGCCATGCCTTCGCTTTCCCACTCTTTTGCAGACGGTGAAGAACGCCCGCCCTGTAGCCGAACCCAATCCGGGTTTCTGGTCTCAGCTCCAGAAGTACGAGCAGACCCTGCAGGCCCAGGGGCGCCTGCCCCGGGAGCTGGCCGACCCCAGCAGCGGGAGGCCACGACCCCAGTGAACCGCACCGGTCAGCCTCGGCGTCGCCACAGGGTGCCCTTGCGGGGGCGACGCGGGCCTGCGGCCATGGCTGGAGGGACAGATGGCACAGCTGGGCAGGGCCTCTTCCCCCTCCAGATGGCAGTGCAGGGATAGGCCCACCTGGGCTCTCATTGGCTAGATAGCTTACTCTGCTCGGCGGACTTTGGTCGAATGAACCACTGCAGAGAAAGTGCGCTCAGGGAGTGGAGGCTGGAGAGCCAAGGACAGTAGGTGAGGCCTGGCTGGCTGCACCTGGGGACCGCAGGCAGCTGCTGCAGCCTCAGTAGGCTCAGGCAGCCACCCAAACCTCCCGGGCCCCTTCTCAGAACCTAGCAAGAGAGCGAAGCTGTTGCAATAGGGCGGAAGGTGTCAATTCCCACCTCCCACTGTACTTCACTTGTCTCAGCAACATGGTGCTCGACCTGACATCACACTGCCACTCATCATGCCAACCACGTGCTGGGCCTCCCCAGGTGTGGAGGGGGAGCCCATCACCTCTTCCAGTTCAGACCCCACCTCACTTGGACATCTTGTGGCCTCCAGACTCCTAGAAAATTAGTCACCATCTACACTCCTTGAATGAGATAATGGAGAAAGAGCAAAGGAGAATGTGGGTGATGTGTGTGAATTACAGATAATGCAGTCATGGGCTAATATACAGAATATATTTAAGGCAATGAATAAAGCACCGTAGTTGGTATTTGTGATTCAGCATCAAGTCCCACTGCCCCATGAAGGTCAGGGTCGGTCACTGGATGCTGTCAGCCTCCTCCCAGGGGGACATGAAGGCTCCACTCAGCAGAGCCCAAAGCTGGGGAGATGGAAAGCACAATTGGTGAGTGTGTCACTGGGGTGGCAGCAAGAGTGGCCATCCTGCCTGCCCCTGTACTCCTGGACCTCAGTTTCTGGGTGCAAGAAGAACTATGCCATCCACTGGTCCCTGGCTCAAAGCCCTCACCAGGCCCTGGGTGGTGCCAGCCCTGCTCCATGGGGCCAGTCACCACTGCCTGTCCCTGTGGCTCTGCCAGCCTGGCATTGCTGTGCCTACACCCCTAAGCCCTCATGGCCCAGGCATTCTCCTCATCCACCTGCTAAGGGGGCTGCTGCCACTGCCCTGCTCAGCTGGAGAGGCTGAAGCAGCATGCAGAGGAGGAGCAGGAGCCAAGCCCAGGTTGTGTCCAGTCTGTCTGTTCAGCTGACCCTGCACCTGGCATCTCCAGTGGAGCTTCCCTGCCCTCTTCTCGGGGCAGGGCACACCCCTGACCTGCTGGCCTGGCCCTAGATGAGGATGCAAGGGCCACAGGGTCCTCACCAGGTTGAGGGACATCTGTGGGTCACATCAGACGTTTTATCTCAGCAGCTCTGTTCTGGAAAACCATCCACCTGTGGCTCCCACCAGAGGCCAGTTCTGCCTAGGACCTGTCCCAGGATCGACACAGCCTGGCTTGGAACCCTGCTTCTTTCTGAAGCCTCTGCTGTCTCCCCACACTGGAGTCCTGCCCATCTCAGTGCCCACCTTCTGGTAGTTGAGACTACAGTCCCATTTCATACCCTTGGCATCAGCACAAGTGAATGGGGGGGTCCGTGTCCATGTATTAGAAAGCTGGGGTGCAGGTGGCTGTCAGGGCCGCTTCTCCGCCCTGATTACCAAAAGGCTGGACTGAAAATTCTTCGGGGAGAAACCCAGGACTCTGGCAATCGCGAGCCCAGGGCGCAGCCCTGACTCCTGCCGCCAGGGGGCGCGGCACGCAGCCTGCCGGGAGGGAGGCGACAGTGCTGAGGGCACCTTTGGGGTTTGCAAGTTGCCTTGCGCTGGGGGCTTCCGGCACCGCGAGGGTGTCCTGGTGGGCTCATTTCTTGGTGCAGATTGGTTTTGTGCTATGTGCAGACTCTGTGTTAGCGCCTGCGCAGGCACTGCCTTCGCCGCTGGGGGGAGAAGTGCAGGCCCTCAAGATTGCAAAGCTGCCACTCGCTCCTGCAGCTGCAGGACTGGCCGCAGGGAGGTGCCCAGGGATCAACAACAGAGACCCCCAACTTTTGCCCCTGAATTCCACTGGGGGTCAGGGTGACAGGACCCTACACTCCATAGCAGAAAGGGCAGCAAGGGCCTACTGACCACCAGGTCGTGGCCACCTGAAGGCAGCAGCTGGGATCCCAGCCCAGTTCTCTTCCCTCCTGAGTTTTGGATGCCTGACTGACCCCTCCCAGTGACTGCGCGAGCCTTGGGGTTCCTAGTCTGGAGTGGGGACCCCACGAGGGAGGCCATGTCCCCCAGCTAAGAAGGCACGTGCGGATCTGAAGCGTTGCTCACGGCCTGCTCCCTCCTCAGCCTTGCTCCCCCTCACACTGGGGAAGGCGGGCAGGAGCACACAGGGTACAGATGCGGAGACTGAGTCCAGACAGCTGAGCGCTACCCAGGTACCCAGGGATGACACAGCAGTCGCACCAGCTGCCAAAGCCCCTTCCACTGTGCCAACGGCAGGACCTCATTCCATGGCCTGGACTGACGCATTAGGCAGGCCTTGCCAGGCGAGAGAGGCCCTGCTGCTCCGCAGCCAACAGCCCCCGAGCCCAGCCTGCCCAGCCAGCACAGAATGCGGCTTCATGACAGCCTGTCCCCAGCCCTTTCCACAGCATGGCCCAGCAGACCTTCCTATGACGGACGTGTCCTGCCTGCTCTGTCCATTAGCCCCCCACACTCCAGAGGACAAGCAGACCGGAAACCCACCGGTGCAACTGCCAGCTGACCTCCTTCCACTTTATTGAACCCTAAATGAGACGCATGCAAGGGGCTGCCGAATCTGACAGGGCAGCCTCAAGCTCCCAGCCCCATCACACCACATGGCCACGCAGGCCGACTCCGGGGAGGGGTCCAGGGACCACCAAAATCATTCCTGGAGCCTGAGGCCCCGAACAGAGGGACGTGGCCGGTCTCCGGGCGCCGCACGCCGAGGCCCCCCGGGCCTCACTCTGCCCTCCCAAGTTGCCCGGGCCAGCAGCGTCCTGGAGGGAGCAACGAACCCGCCCCCTGGTCTCCCCGGGCGGGCCAGGTAGGAGGAAGTGCGGAGCGCAGGGCTGGGGAAGGGCTAAGCCCCGATATTCCCACACCCAGGCCCCAGCCCAACAGCACTCCAGCTGCGCGCACTGCGTGCCTAATCACAGCCTCACAACGCGCACGCTCACACACACCTCCGCCCTCCCCACGGGCACAGGGGCACATGGGCACAGGGGCCGGCCCCGCCAGCACCCCGATAACAGCGCCTCGGCCCCAACCCCGCCAGCAGCCCCCGATCACAGCGCCCCAGCTCAGAGCGTCCCGACCCGGACGCTCCCCACGGCGCACAGCCCGGCCCGCGCACAGCGCCCCCAGCGGCCACAGAGCACAGCCCGCGCGGGGCGGCTCCCGGCGCGACTTCCTGTTGTGCCCGCGCCCCGCCGCCCC